ATCGAAATTTATCGAAAAAATTCAAAATAAAAAGGAATAATTATATCAAACTGTATACTGCATAGGGGAGGGGGGTGGGACTAAAGGGGGTTGACTGCACGAAGGTTTGGATAATTCAACTATTCCTGTTTTAATTATTATTATTTTTCTTTTATGTAAGGGTGGAGGAAGGGTGGGTGAGGTACTCGTCAAATATTCGAGTGTGTGTGTGAATTTATATAAAAAATAATTTATAATAAATAGACAAAAATTTCCTATAGAAATTTATTGAAAAAATGAGAAATAAAAAAAAAGAATAAAAAATGCTCGATTATAGAATAATTAATAAATATAGGGAATAATATTAATTGATTTTTTTATCCCATTTGATCGAAAAGATTACAAATGCTTTTATGCAAACGATAGAAAAAAAGATCTTTCTTTAGATTCGAGAGAAAAAAAAACAGAGAAAAAGGAACTTTTGTTATAAGAAATTAATTGAAATTTTCGCGAATGATATCATCTGCAGGGAAACTATGAAAAACCAATAATTAATAACGTCCCAAATGTAATGTTTAAAAATCAAAAGTTCGCGTAGAAATATTCCATTGGAAAGCATTTCGAAAAACGTGAACGATTGGAAATTTAATAATATAAAAAAAAAAAGAAATAAAAAAAAAAGAAAGAAAGAAACACACTCTTTCTATCTTTCTATCCGATGATTAAAAGATTTTTAAATGTTATGCGAATAAAGGCATATAAATAATATTATGTTTTCAAAAAGAAAAAATAATAAAAGAAGAAAAGTAAAGTAAAATAACATTTCGGTCGAAACTAATCAAAATCATCGTACGTCACTTTTATATATATATAAATATAAAAAAAATAAAACTATCGGAAACCAATATTTTTTTAATAACGAACGTGATTTGTATAATCGAAAAAAATGAGAAAGAATACGCCGTAAAATTACTCGTAGAAAACAAATATTACCAAATGTTAGAACAAAGATATTTCTTTCTATCAATTTTTCCTAACCTAAAAAAAAAAAACAAAATGAAGAAAGATGAAAGAGAGATAGATAGATAGATAGATAGATTAAAATAAAAACATTAAAACAACGAAACGAGATCTTTGTAATCGTAAAACAAGCGTGTCGACGATTTCAGAAAGGTTTTTCGGTAGAACTAAGTTAACCCATAAAAATGTAAAGGTTATGTTATTAACGTTATGTCTGTTAGAATAGAACGGTGCATGCAGATAAGTTTTTTAAACGTTAGTACTATGGTTGCCCAACGGTCGCCCTACTGTCGCCCAATGGGCGCCCTACGGACGACCCTGCAACTGGTTTTGGACGAAACATATTTGCATCTTCCATGTTACGTGCACCGTTTTCTCTCTCTCTCTCTCTCACTTTCTTTCTCTCTTCGTACATGACGAATAATGTACGTATGTGTAACCGCGCTAGGAATATATGGAGATTTACATATTTGTTTCGGCATAATGAATTCCATGCATGGTCAGCTGCTAACCACGCAAAACTTATTACGAGTACACAGATTACAGTTGGTTCTCTCCGTTAAAACGAATACACACATACATACGTTCTCTCTCTCTCTCTCTTTCTCTTATATATATATATATATATAT